TAGAAAAAAGAAGTAATTAAAAAAGGAAAAAAAACCACAACCCTAACAAGAACTTCAGGTGGTCTAATTATTCATTAAACAGGAGTTTACAGCAGACTGTTTTATTAACAAAAGGGCGTTATCTTAAAAAGAAAATCCCTCCTCATTTCATGCTGTACAGCAATGGCACCACAGGAAGAGAAATGTCACAAGGATCTGAGAAAGAAAATAATTTCTTTACACAAGAAAGGTGAAGTCTAGTGTGGATCAGCAAAGCTTTACCTTATCAGCCAGAATATTGTTAGCCAAAGTGATCACAAAAATCTAACAAAGATGGCAACTGCAAACCATCATCACCCGAGACCTAGCCCGGTCAACATCCCTCGTAGCCGTGTTAAATATCTCAACAGAAGATAACAACCTCGACAGGGAACATATTCTGATGAGGAAGGGTGAAGAAAAGTCGCCATGCATGTGACTGCAGTTAGCTCAAAGAAGTAGAAAGCCAAACTGGTGGTGATTGTTTCCCGTGTGACACAATATGGCATAACTGTAGAGGAATTGGAATGCATGGGTGTCGTCCACAAAGGAAGCCTCTCCTAAAGTCCAATGAACAAAAAAGCCCACCTAGGATTTGCCTGGGTCGCCCATACTGAAAGAAGACTACTGGGACTCATGTACTCTTGGAGTGATGAGACAAGATAAATGTTTTTGGACTGATGGCTTCAAAAAACTGTAATTATGGTGTCTAAAAAGGTGAGGAGTACAAAGAAAAATGCATTGTACCTACAGGAGAAACGTTTGGTGGCAGTGTGCTTCTGTGGGGCTACATGAGTGCTGCTTGGTGTCTTCAGGGAGCTGCATTTCATTGATGGTATCATGAAGTCCACTGTTGTTGTACTGCTCTATTTTGAAAGAGAAGGTGCTACCATCACTCTGTGCCCTTGGTCGTCATGTTGCACTTTTCCAACATGACAATTGATCCAAAAAAACACACATCTAAGGCCACTGTTGTATTTTCTGAAGAACACGGTGAAAGTGATTCATGTGGCCAAGTATGTCTCCTGATCTGAACCCAAACCGAACACCTATGGGGGAATTATGAAGAGACTAGATAGGGAATCACTTTCCATCCAGTATTTCCAAGCTCTAAAATATGGTTGCTTTCTTGAAAAATGGAAAAAAGATCGATGTTGCAATATGTCACAAACTTGTTAATTCCATGCTAGAAGACTTTGGTGCTGTCCTTACAAATCATAGAGGTCATTAACAAAATACTAGATGGAGTAGCTTTTGTTGTGGGGTGGATTCATTTTTGCATCTGAAACTAATTTGAGTAAAAACTGAAGACTTTTGTTATCCAGCAGTTTATATTATTAACCCTACCTCCATGTAATGAGGCCAAACGTCATCCACGTGTTGTCTCTATAAAAATTCAGTTTTCTCAAAAGTTTTGTAAATTGTTCTTGTGTGTTTGGTATATTAAATTAACATCATACTTTTCAAAAGGGTTGTACTCATTTATGTGAGCATCTGTAGGTGCGATGTTCAGGTGTCCACAAGCTTTCGGCCATATGGTGTACCTGACAAAAAGGCATGGGAACACTTTATTAGACTTTGTATACAATATATGTTATGGCCATTTTATACACATGTGCCTAGTGGCCGATTTGAAATTTCCCTGGATCGTGAAACACAAATTAAGTCTGGAGGACATTGCAGGAGAACCTGAAATCTTCTTCCATAAAATGAAGACGGATTCATTGAGATCTGTAGAATTCTGTTGATTTATTGGTAAAGAATTTCCCAATCAAGATCACATTCTTCAGGTAACAATTATAAAGAGTTCAGAAAAAAAATCAGAGCATCAGCTATTTCTTCGCCTGTCTTCCAGCAGATCCTTGGCTTCGTTAATTTTGGCCGCGATGTATGGAGATCTCCTAAAGGGGAGTATATTCGGCAAAGGGAGGAGCATGGTTACTGTGTATGTTGGACACGGGAAGTAAATCTGTCTATTCAGCCCCACCCCCCTCCAAGGCCTCAGTAGGTGAATGGATCCCCAGCAAGGACAAGTAGCAAGAAGAGTACGTCACTTTGGCCATTTGGGTTCATTTCATAGAAAACATGTGCCGAGGGAAAAAATCCTCTAGCTGCCATTATTGACCCTTTGTTAAAATGGAACTCCAAGCAAATCTAAATAAATAAAAATTATTAACCACTTACAGTTTTCAGAAGATTTTACCCCCTTCATGAACAGACCCTTCAGCACTGCACTATGGTTAACTGGAAATTGCGTGGACGTGCAACACTGTAGCTAAATGAAATGTATATCCTTTTTTTTTTCACACAAATAGATCTTTCTTTTGGTGGTATTTGATCACCACTGTTTTTTTTTTTTACTTTTTGCGATATAAACTAAAAAACACAGAAAATGTGTAAAAAAAAAAAACAATAAGCATAATTTTTTTACTTTCTGCTATAAAACATATCAAATAAGAAAAAACAAACAAAAAACAAAAACACATAAATGTTGGCCAAAATGTATTCTGCTACATGTTTAGGGTAAAAAAAAAAGTCCCATTAAGTGTGCGTGGATTGATTTGTGTGAAAGTTATAGTGTCTATTGTAGCAATCGTGCACATAGAGATGGATGCGGTTAAGAATCTTCCATTTTTTACCATCTCTCACTCCCAAAGCAGGCTTCCTCCTCCAATCATCCCCCCCTCCCTCTCTGTTGAGTGACATGTGGTCTGGGTGATGACAGAAGTCAAAGGCAATCAAGGCACAGCAGGACAGCTCCAGAGCTATAAAAACCACCAGCCTAGATGCCTGTTAGCTTCCCAATCTGGGATATCGTAAAACTATAAACCAAGTCCTTCACCGAGCTCAAAGGCATTCCAGAGAGTCATAAAAACAAAACTTACATAAGTTTAGATCTTCTTGTAGGACATAATTACCTAAACATGGAGCCCATATTCGGACGGCTCAATTTAAGGCCATTCTCCTGATATATTACATCCCCTACCTGACATATATAGGAGAGCAGAAAATTATATCTCCTGAACCATTCAAGCAGATATTTCGTGATTCATATCTAACCGTTCAGTAGGAGATTCTGCGTAATAATCTACTCATGGATAGAATGTTGTATGTATCCAAGGTAAATTATGAACCATAATATAAGCTAAGAGAGTTTTTTGGTCATAGCTTCGGTCTCCACCTACAAACTCCCTCCCCAAATGAGGCGATTGGTTTACTGCTCCAGGGAGACCCTGTGGAGCTCCTAAAAAAAGCTAAGCTGAGTTGAGCTGTGCGTAAGAGTTGAAGAATCTCCCTGTTTTAACATCGAAACTGACAGTGGGAGATAAGAAATCCCTTTTGGCTCATGAAACCTGAAGCTGCTTAACCCAAGGTTTTTTGGCAAGTACTTTATCTGCCTATAACTTCTGTTATCTCTTTGCTGTGCTGTTGTTCTCTGTATATTTATAGATATATTGGCTACATCTTTTTCTGTAAATATTTTTATTGCACCCTTTTGACCTTTTAGTAATAAATCTTACTTTCTGAAAGTGTTGAACTGTTTCTAAAGCTCTTTAATGCAAATTATGAATTCCTGCCACTGAAGAACGCTATTATGTGTGTTTTTTAAACTTCGGTATATCTCTGCCTGTGGTGACAGTGGCATACCGACGATTATTCAAACATCATAGTGTTATTGCTAATATTGCCGAGTTTCCTTTCTCTGTACAAAAAGGAGGTGGTGGCAGTGTGAAGGGTTAATTGTGTAATTAACCTGACCCAGTAACAAATCGCTCTCAGGCTGCCGGTACATTGATTGTGGTCCAGTGAGCTGGAAAATCTTTGTGCAGGGTGCAGCTGGGTGTGGCATTGTTACGCATGTGATAGCGCGGTTTTAGATTGGCTAGTCCTTCGGTCACGAGTTTGGTGAGAAGGGATGGGGTCTGACGCCGCGATCGTCACATCTACAAACTATGGGAGATATATACTGGAACTTTTTCTTTTTTATTTATTTTTTAATACGAACAATGGCGATGCTCAGCAACGTATAGTGGGACTGTGATAGTGGATTGGAGCGGGCAATTTGACACTAACTGATGCTGGTGTGTACTGACTAACTGCCACTGAACTTACCAGTGACACTAACACAGTGATCAGTGATAATACTATACACTGTCACTGTACTAATCACTCCAGCGCCAATATTTATCTATTGGTACATGTGGTAGTATGATGCCATAGATTGGTGCCAGGATAGGAAAATTACGGTAAATATTTGATAAAATTTTCCATTTTGTACACATTGTACTTGATCTGGTTGAGCACAGAGGACCTGTACATAGTACATAGTCCTCTAATGTCTCCATGAAGAGGTCCTAAAAATGACTATCAAATAGCTACTTGTCAATCCCCTTGTGATAGTAATATTTAGTGAAAAAAAAAAAGCCAAAACCCCCCCCCCCAAAAAATAAAACCTATTTCGGCACTTAGCAATGTATTTGTGTTGTTAGAGAGAGAGTGATTTGATTACATTTTGGTGTTCTATGCACGTAGTATGAGAACATCAGACACTTGGAGATCCCATTTTATTTTCCGTGGCAAAGGATAAATAAATACAAATCCTGAATGAATTTCAGGCAGTAAGGGGCGTTCTCCACCTTCTACATTGCATGCTAGGAATGGCGTATTGAAGCTGAACCCAAGCTGCTTTACTACACAGGATGAAAAAAAAAAAAAGAGAAAATGACAGAGAATGCACAACTGCAGCAGGGGCTGACCTCGGCCAATCAGAACCAGAGGAGCCATGCCAACCCTGGTAGGAGAACAGGAGAGAAGACGATATTTAGCGGACTTTACCTTTGTCAGGATGGTTCAGCAGCATAATCCGCCTATGAGCTTCTCTTATCTTTGTTTTATTTGCGGTCGGGCTGCAACAAAAAACAGGTCTGGATCAACACTTCATACAATTCACCGAAGAGACCAAGATTAACATTTTAAAGGGGAGCTCCATCCAAACAGAGTATGCAGAGATCAGTGCAGCAGGGTTTCAGTGACATCACTGCTTGAAACGGTCACAGTGGCCCCAGCTCCCATCTTCAGCTTGAATGTTCCATGTGCCGTCATTTACATGGGCGTGCTATAGCCAGGGCTGCTGATAAGGCAGTACAACTGGCACTCCTGTCCTGGGCCGGGCCCCATCACTTCATAAGGGGGGTCTGGGCACCTGCCAGGCAGGAGGGTCGGCTGTACCGTCCTATTGCTGCCACTTGGGACACTTGTGCCTCCCCCTACAGTGCTGTCGGCTTCCACCTCTCTTCCTCTCTCTGGCTCCCTGCAGGGGGGGGGGGGGGGAATCAGTATCTGTGCCCCCACACCTGTGCTGTCTGGGCCCCCCCTCCCTTGCATCGCTGCCGGCTATCGTCCTCTTTCTCTGTCGTGGTGTAGGGGAAGGGGGGCACATGTGTGTGTGTGTGTGTGGGGGGGGGGGCTGGACAGTACTGGGAGCAAGAGAGAGAGAGAGGAGGGAAGTTGGCAGCGCTGCAGGGGAGGGGGGGGGGCATGCAGTGGGGACTGAACAGTACAGGGGTTGGGGCGCAGATACCAATCCACCCCCCCTGCAGGGAGTAAGAGAGGGAAAGAGGAGGGAAGTTGGTAGCGCTGGAGGGGGGGGGGCAGGCAGTGGGGACTGAACAGTACAGGGGTGGGGGCGCTGATACCGTTCCCCCCCTGCAGGGAGCAAGAGACAGAAAGAGGAGGAAAGCCAGCAGCACTGTGGGGGGGGGGGGGGGGGGCATACAGGGGGGGACTAAACAGTACAGGGGTGGGGGCGCAGATACTGTTCCCCCTGCAGGAAGCAAGAGAGAAAAAGAGGAGGAAAGCCAGCAGCGCTGTGGGGGAAAAGAGGAGCCCAGACAGCACAGGGGTGGGGGCGCATATACCGTTACCCCCTGCAGCGGGGATCAGTATCCTGTGCCCCCACCCCTGTGCTGTCCAGCCCCCCCCCCCCCCCTCTGCAGTGCTACCAGCTTCCCTCCTCTCCCATCGGCATCTACTGTAGGCACAAAAAAGGAATCTTTTCAGGATGGAGTGCGGGGTGAGGGGGGCATAAATATGCCCTATTTTATCGTCTCTTCCTTTCCTGAATGAACACTGAGTGAGCACCGATGACTCCTGTGTCCATTGTTCACTGAAGCAGACTCAACTGTGTTTACTATGCTTCAGTTTGTGAATGAACAGGAAGCCTCAGAGCACTTCCCATTCATTCACAGTCCAGTGCAGCTGAGGCTACAGAGAAAAGGGACTGTTGAATCTCTGCCCTCAGTCCCTCTCTGTGTCCCAAATGTGAGGCATCGGGGTCTGTATAGACGTCCCCAAGAGGGCAGTTAATAAAAATGTAAAAGAAAAATAAATAAAAATGTTTACATTCTAAAACATAATTAAAAAAAAAAAGTGCTTTGCAGTCAGAAATTGGATCGCTGTGCAGAGAGAATCTGACAAGCTGATGTGCCTCCTCACCACCTGCTTGAACCCCACACTAGCGCACTGCAACCTTCGCACGCGGTTGTCGGGAGCAATGCTATGCGCTTGAATGGCTCTAATCCAATGGGCGTAGAATGTCCGCCATGGCTGCGACAACACCGCGGCTGTGGGAATTTGGCAAAATTATGGGCAGCACAGTGACTAAATGGTTAGCACTTCCACCTGGCAGTACTCGGGTCGTTGGTTCCAATCCCAACCACAGCACCACCTGCCTGGAGTTTGCATGTTCTCCCTGTGCCTGTGTGGGTTTCCTCCGGGTACTCCGGTTTCCTCCCACACTCCAAAGACATGCTGGTAGGTTAATTGGCTCCTGTCTAAATTGGACCTAGTATGTGTATGTATGAATGCGAGTCAAACAATCAATCAATCAATCAGTGATCACTCTTTTCACTAAATACACAGACATCGATTTTTATTCTTCTACCTTAACTTTCATCTTGTATAGATCATTCATATATACATTTACTGGGATTTTTTTTTTTTTTTTTTTTTTTTTTTTTTTTTTTTTACTAAAGACGCAGCAGAATACATTTTGGCCTAAATTTATAAGGAAATTTGATTTTTATTTTTATTGGGAAATTAAAAAAAATACAGTTTTTTTTTTTCAAAATGTTTTTTTTTTTTTGTTTTTTATTTGTAATTGCAAAAGAAAAACCCAGCGGTTGATCAAATACCACCAAAAAAAGCTCTATTTGTGTGAAAAAAAAAGACATAAATTTTGTTTGAGTACAGCGTTGCATAATCGCACAATTACCAGTTAAAGGAACGCAGTGCTAAATAGGAAAAAAATGGCCTGGTCATGAAGAGGGTAAAACCTTCCAGGTCTCCAGTGGGTATAGACCCTTCTAAAAAAAGAAAAAAAAAAAAATCTGACCCGAGTCCAATGTAATATGAAGGTGGTGGTTCCAACAAAGGTAAAGTGGTAAGCCCAAAAAGCAAACATTACAGCTTACCATTTATTAGATGTGATGTCTGCATTAGTATTTTTTTTAAGCTTTCTTTCTTCTATTTTCATCTGGTGATCTGGCCAGTAAGTCTGTTGTTTCTTAAAAGCACAAGAGCTCTTCCAGATGTAGCAGTTAGAGGGGTGAGACAAACCATTTAACACTGACAGGGGTGCTTACAATGATCAGCTTTTATTTATTCATGCAAGACCTTTATCCCAAAAGGAAACAAAAACTGCTGTAACCGCTTATAACGTGTGAGATGGAGTTTGGCTTCATTTGTTAATGTATCTAAATCTGCTAGTCTACCTAACACTCCCCTCTCCTCCGGAGTAACAATGCTGCTGTCCAAATGTGCCCCATCTGTTCCTTCATCCAGAGTGCGTGTGGGGGGGGGCACTCTAATACGGGAAGTGTGTTACTGGCCAGATCACCAGGTGAAAACAGGGGAAAAAAGCCTAAAAATAAAAGAAAAACGAATGCAGCCGCATCTAATGATTGGTAAGATGTAATTTTTTACTTTTTTGGTTTTGCGTTTAACCACTTCAATACCGAGCACTTCTACCCCCTTCCTGTTCAGGCCAATTTTCAGCTTTCTGCGCTGTCATACGTTGAATGACAATTGCACGGTCATGCAACACTGTACCCATATGACATTTTTATCATTTTTTTCACACAAATAGAGCTTTCTTTTGATGGTATTTAATCACCACCCAGTTTTTTATATTTTGCTAAATAAAACAAAAAACACATGAAACTTCTGAAAAAAAAAAAAACAAAAAAAAAAAAGCGCACTTTTCTTCAGTTCTGTAATAAAATTTTGCAAATAAATAACATTTCTTCATACATTTAGGTCAAAATGTATTCTGTTATATTTCTTTGGTGAAAATAAAAATAATAATTGAATTTGTATTTTTTTTTCAAATGTTTCTATAATTTTTTTTTTAATTTTTTCTTTTTTTTTTTTTACTATTTTATTTTAGAGCACAATGTGAACAAAGCAATACAAGGTTACCATAGTAACATTGAACTACTCTGGGCAAGTGATCAGGATTTTTTTTAATCTTTTTTTTTAATTTTAAACACATTATGATTGCTAATACCGATGTATTTCATTGATATTTGCAATCATTGTTACTGAATGAAACGGATTCATTCAGTCTTGTTGTGATTAGCTGTGATTGGGCAACGCTGATCACATGGTACAGATGGGCTGTGAATGGCCCCGTCTGTATCATGTGACTGCCTTGACCAATGCAATTGTATAAAATGGATGGTATGACTGGAAGCCATCCATAGTAAACAATCAACATGTGATCTGCTGTGATTGGTCACATTGGTCACATGACACTGGCAACGGGCCGGTTTTGTCCCATGGACAGATCGCGAAGCTGCGCGGGCCCGCGTGAACGGCTCGTTTTGATAGGACATCATATGATGCCCAGTCACAACGAAGGTGTTAAATTATGCATCTTATCCCAATGGATCTGAACCCAATTCAAGACCGGCCCTGCTTAGACGGTTTACAAATGGCGGGAATACTGGGATTTTTAGGTTTTTTTTTATACTAATAATGGCGGCGATCAGCGAATTATGGCGGCGACCAGCGACTTATGGCGGGACTGCGGCGGACATTCTGACATTGGGTACTGACTTGGGGTCACTGACATCCCCAAAAACACTAATACAGTGATCAGTGCAAAAAAAAAAAAACACTGACACTGTACTAATGGCACTGGGGAGGAAGGGGTTAACTTTTTTTTGAAGGGAAGGGTTATAGGAGTGAGGGGAGTGTTTTACTAGGTGGCGGGGTGTGTACTGGGCGGGATAAGGCTGATCGAGAAAGAGAAACTGTTCTTTCTCGATCAGCTCATCCTCGAACTGACAGGGAGGTACAGACAGCACAGCTACTGCAGCTGTGCTGTCTGTCACTGTTTTCCGCCGATCGCCGGGAAACAGCAGCTAAGGACCGGCTGTGACCCGGCGACTCACATCTGCGGCGGTGATCGGCAGGACAGATAGGGCGGCGGCGCGCCTTGCGCGCGCCTCCTATTTGTTTACAAAACACACGTTTTAAAACGTGGTTTTGCCTGCGAGTGCCGCCCTGCCGCCGTATATCTACAGTGGCTGGGCGGCAAGTGGTTAACTGACAATTTTGCGGTCATGCAACGCTGCACCCAAATTAAATTTACGGCCTTTTTTTTTTCCTTATGAATAGAGCTTTCTTTTGGTGGTATTCGATCGCCTGTGCGGTTTTTATTTTTTGTGCTATATAAAAAAAAAGACAATTTTTAGAAAAAAACAATTAGTAGATATTCATTTTACCGCCAAGTAAGCTTTATTATAAACGTACCAATAGGTAAACGTAAGATAGTGGAGGTTGCTGCCGCTTGAACTCCTTGGCGCCGAGCGTACGCAAATCCGCGGCCTCTCGAGGGCTGGGCCTTGGTGCTGCATGTTTGCAATACTCAATGTAAACAAAAGATGTGCCGAGCGTGCCGCCCTGCTCGCTCCCGCCACATTTACCGGCACCTCACAGAAAGGTCCTGATTGCTACAGGAGCTTTCCAATCATGTGACAGCCAATCATGGCGGTCACATGACCCTAAATCTCGTCCCCTGGCGTCACAAAGCCCGGGCGCCAAGGGGTTAACCCCTTTCCCTCCACAGGATTTACCCCCCCCCCCTTCCTGACCAGGCCATTTTTTGCGTTACGGCGCTGTGTTACTTTAACCACTTGACCCCCAGAGGATTTACCCCCCTTAATGACCACGCCTCTTTTTGCTACTCGGCGCTGCACTAATTCAACTGATAATTGCGCGGTCATGCAATGCTGCACCCAAACGAAATTTATGTCCTTTTTTTCACACAAATAGAGCTTTCTTTTGGTGTAATTTGATCACCTGTGCGCTTTTTATTTTTCACGCTATAAAACAAAAAAAGGCCAAAAAGTTTGAAGAAAAAACAATATTTTTTACTTTCAGCTATAATAAATATATAGTAAACTCAAAGTTGGTTATAAATTTAGGCCAAAATGTATTCTGCTCCATGTTTTTGGTAAAAAAAATCCCAATAAGTGTATATTGATTGCTTTGTGTGAAGTTATAGCGTCTACAAACTATGGTATAGATACTGCAATTTACACCATTTTTCTGCTATACAGCGCTGCGCTAGTTTAACGGACAATTGCGCGGTCATGCAATACGGTACATAAATGAAATTTACATCCTTTTTTCCCCACAAATTGAGCTTCCTTTTGGTGGTATTTGATCGCCTGGGCGGTTTTTATTTTTTGCACTATAAAAAAAAAAGGCTGACAATTTTGAGGAATAAAAAACAATATTTTGGACTTTTTGCTATAAAACATGTCCAGTAAAAAAAAAAAAATCAAAAATCAAAATTTAGTCATATATTTCTGCCAAAATGTATTCTGCGACATGTCTTTGCTAAAAAAAAAACCCAATACGTGTAAATTAATTGGTTTACGTGAAAGTTATAGCGTTTACAAATGGCAGGAATACTGGGATTTTTAGGGGTTTTTTTTATACTAATAATGGCGGCGATCAGCGAATTATGGCGGCAACCAGCGACTTATGGCGGGACTGCGGCGGACATTCTGACATTGTGTACTGACTTGGAGTCACTGACATGCCCAAAAACACTAATACAGTGATCAGTGCAAAAAAAAAAAAACACTGACACTGTACTAATGGCACTGGGGAGGAAGGGGTTAACTTTTTTTTTGAAGGGAAGGGTTATAGGAGTGAGGGGAGTGTTTTACTAGGGGGCGGGGTGTGTACTGGGCGGGATAAGGCTGATCGAGAAAGAGAAACTGTTCTTTCTCGATCAGCTCATCCTCGAACTGACAGGGAAGTACAGACAGCACAGCTACTGCAGCTGTGCTGTCTGTCACTGTTTTCCGCCGATCGCCGGGAAACAGCAGCTAAGGACCGGCTGTGACCCGGCGACTCACATCTGCGGCGGTGATCGGCGGGACAGATAGGGCGGGCGGCGCGCCTTGCGCGCGCCTCCTATTTGTTTACAAAACACACGTTTTAAAACGTGGTTTTGCCTGCGAGTGCCGCCCTGCCGCCGTATATCTACAGTGGCTGGGCGGCAAGTGGTTAACTGACAATTTTGCGGTCATGCAACGCTGCACCCAAATTAAATTTACGGCCTTTTTTTTTTTCCTTATGAATAGAGCTTTCTTTTGGTGGTATTCGATCGCCTGTGCGGTTTTTATTTTTTGTGCTATATAAAAAAAAGACAATTTTTAGAAAAAAACAATTGAGTACTGACATGATACTTTTTTTATTTGCACTAACATACAATTTTGAGGACAATTTTCCTCAAAATTGCATGTTAGTGCAAATAAAAAAAAGTATCATGTCAGTACTCAATTGTTCGTGTCTCAAGTGCAATAATACGGCTACAATCACCTTGAGAAAATAAAAAAAAAAACTGTATTTTTGACTTTTTGCTAGTAAAATATAGCCAGTAAAAAAATTTAAAAAAAAAAAATCAAATTTCATCATAAATTTAGGCCAAAATGTATTCTGCGACATGTCTTTGCTTAAAAAAAAATCACAATATGTGTAAATGAATTGGTTTATGTGAAAGTTATAGCGTTTGCAAATGGCGGGATAAATACTAGGATTTTTTTTTCTAGTAGTAATGGCGGCGATCAGCGACGTATAGCGGGATTGCAGGGGGCATTCTGACACTGGGGGGGAACTGACTTGGTGTCACTGACGTCCCCAGTGACACCAATACAGTGATCAATATTAATAAAAAGCACTGACACTGTCCTAATGGCACTGGGCAGGAAGGGGTTAACATATGGGGTGATGAAAGGGTTAACTGTGTGCTGTCTCTGTGCATTTAACTGTAAGCACACTGCTTTGTATGGCTCTGCTACGCAGAGCCATACAAAGCAGTGTGCAGGAGCGGACAGGGGAGAGAACTGTGTTGTTTACATACAGTTTCTCTCTCTCCATCGGTAATGCTCCTTGATCACCGGGTGCTGGCGAGTAATCACGAGCCGGGACCCAGTGATTGACAGCCGAGGCGGCGAATAGCGTTGTGGGAAGGGCGCGCGCCCCCTACCCGGAAATGCAAAATCATGTGTATATATACGTGATTCTGCGCACCCCGCCGCCCTGTAGCAGTATAGGGTGGTAGGAAAGCGGTTAAACAGTGAAAGGTTGGAAAGGAGCATTAGGCAAGAATTTACAAGGGAAGGTGAAAGTTCCTCTTTAACCCCTTGGCGCAGTCCTCCCGGTCCTTTAAGGGTTTCAGAAGCCGGGAGGCGGGTTTTAGGGTCATGTGACCGCCGTGATTCACTGTCACACCGGTCACATGATTGGGAAAGGTCCCGATCAAAAGGGCAGATCGGGACCTTTCCATGAGTACCGGACATGAGTGTTGGGAGCGTGCGCTCTCAGCACATATGTTTTTCTTAATTGCATGCAAATGTGCGGCCGCTCGGCGTCAAGGCCCAGACACCGGGAGGCCACACGTTTACGTACGGCCGGCGCCAAGAGGTTAATGGTACCGGGACACAGAAAACGTGGGAAAAGCACACACTTAGAATCAGATCATTTGTATTTATTGATCATGTGACTCTTCGCACTTACCTGACTGCCAACACCAGCGCGGCTTCCCTTTTAGTCATTTTGGGTTCAAATCCACCTTTGTAATAACCGGCAAATGCCTAAACGAAAAAACAAAATTCCAGTAAGAACTGTAAGAAAAAAAGTTTCAAATTAAAAAAATAAAAGCAAAACCCCAAAAACTTCTTGAAGGGAACCTATTAGCACAGTGGCTGAATGGTTAGCACTTCCCCCTGGCAGTATTAGAGTCGTTGGTTTGAATTTCAACCATGGCACCACCTGCCTGGCTTTTGCATATTCTCCCTGTGCCTGCGTGGGTTTCCTCCGGGTACTCCGGTTTCCTCCCACACTCCAAAGACATGCTGGTAGGTTAATTGGATCCTGTCTAAATTGTCCCTAGTATGTGTATGTATGAATGTGAGTTAGGGACCTTAGATTGTACGCTCCTCGGGGGCGGGGACTGATGTGAATGTACAATATATATGTAAAGTGCTGCGTAAATTGATGGCGATATAGAAGTACCGGAAAGAAATAAATAAATCAGGACAGAAATACAGGAAGTGCCATTGCCAACCCAATTTCTAAAGGCAATGTACACTTTCAAATGTTTCTGTTTTGTTTTGGTATTAGTGTAGTTTTATTCCCCGTGCGGTTTGTTTACCTTACCTTGTAATGATGAGCTCACGTTTTGTGATTGCAGTTTGTAGTGTCATGGCTGACTGATCCCTCTATGTCCATGTATTCATTCACCTAGCTTGTCCCTATTCACTAAAGAGACAGCAACTTTTTCTGAGCCACAGTCCACGCCTCACTATTTCCTCAAAGTTGCATCATAGATATGGGGAGAGCAGTAGCATCACTAGGGTTGGTGTCACCAGGTGCAGGAAAACATGGTGTCGCTCTCCACCCCCCCAATCATTTTTTTGCCCCCCATAGAACATAGCATATAATGGCAATAGTAGTGCTGTTAATCCTTCCCCTGAGTGTATGCCCTCTGTCTAAACCCCCTCAGGTTACTCTTCCCAATTTAATCCCCCCCCCCCCCCCCCGATGTAATCCCCTCAGTGTAATCCCCCCATATAAATCCTCACAGTGTAATCCCCCCCAAGTGCAATGCCCCTAAAGCAATCCTTCAAGTGTGAATCCCCGAAGTGTAATCCCTCCAGAGTGTATTACCCTCCACCCCTCATGTATTTCTCCCAGTTTAATGCATCCAGTAGACCTGATGTAATGCCCCCAATGTCCACGCCCCCCCCACACCCCCATGTAAATCTCCCCAGAGTAATCCTGCAAGTGTAATGCCCCATCAATGCAGTCCCTCCAGTGTGAACCCCCCAAGTGTAATCCTTCCAGTGTATCCCCCGCCCCCATGTAAATCCCCCCAGTTTAATCCCCTCCATGTAAATCCCCCCAATGTAAATTCCCCAGTGTAATGCTCCCAATGTAATCACCCAAGTGTATTCCCCCACAGTGTATCTCCCCCATGTGAATCTCCCCCAGTATAATGTGCAATCCCTCCAATGTAAAGCTCCCAAATCAAGTGCAATGCCCCCAATGCAATCCCTCCCAGTGAAATCTCCTACATAAAGTCTAATGCCCCCAATGCAATCCCCCCCCAGTGAAATCTCCTACATAAAGTCTAATGCCCCCAATGCAATCCCCCCCCAGTGAAATCTCCTACATAAAGTCTAATGCCCCCAATGCAATCCCCCCCCAGTGAAATCTCCTACATAAAGTCTAATGCCCCCAATGCAATCTCCCCAGTGAAATCTCCTACATAAAGTGTAATGCCCCCAATGCAATCCCCCCCCCCAGAGCAATCTCCCAAATCAAGTGTAATGCCACCAATGCAATCCCCCCCAGAGCAATCTTCCAAATTGAGTGTAATGCCCCCAATGCAATCCCCCCCCCCCCAGAGCAATCTCCCAAATCAAGTGTAATGCCCCCAATGCAATCCCCCCCAGAGCAATCTTCCAAATTGAGTGTAATGCCCCCAATGCAATCTCCCCTTTGCGGATCTTCTACCGAATGTAACTGTGCTCACCTGCTCAGTTTACATCTCCCCCATTACAGACCTCAGATCAGCGTGGCTATCCCGACAGATGTCCCTCTGCCTAGTCTCCCTCTCTTGTGGATGCAACATCAGAGTGGAGGAGATGCCTAGGCTAGGCTCCATTTGGATGCAATGTCAGAGTGGAGGAGATGCCCAGGCTAGGCTCCATTTGGATGCAATGTCAGAGTGGAGGGGATGCCTAGGCTAGGCTCCATTTGGATGCAGTGCCAGAGTGGAGGGGATGCCTAGGCTAGGCTCCATTTGGATGCAATGTCAGAGTGGAGGAGATGCCCAGGCTAGGCTCCATTTGGATGCAATGTCAGAGTGGAGGAGATGCCTAGGCTAGGCTCCATTTGGATGCAGTGCCAGAGTGGAGGGGATGCCTAGGCTAGGCTCCATTTGGATGCAGTGCCAGAGTGGAGGGGATGCCTAGGTTAGGCTCCATTTGGATGCAGTGCCAGAGTGGAGGGGATGCCTAGGCTAGGCTCCATTTGGATGCAGTGCCAGAGTGGAGGGGATGCCTAGGCTAGGCTCCATTTGGATGCAGTGCCAGAGTGGAGGAGATGCCTAGGCTAGGCTCCATTTGGATGCAATGTCAGAGTGGAGGAGATTCCTAGGCTAGGCTCCATTTGGATGCAATGTCAGAGTGGAGGAGATGCCTAGGCTCCATTTGGATGCAATGTCAGAGTGGAGGAGATGCCTAGGCTCCATTTGGAGGCAATGTCAGAGTGGAGGAGATGCCTAGGCTAGGTTCCATTTGGTTGCAATGTCAGAGTGGAGGGGATGCCTAGGCTAGGCTCCATTTGGATGCAATGTCAGAGTGGAGGAGATGCCTAGGCTAGGCTCCATTTGGATGCAATGTCAGAGTGGAGGAGATGCCTAGGCTAGACTCCATTTGGATGCAATGTCAGAGTGAAGGAGATGCCTAGGCTAGGCTCCATTGGCTCTCAGGTTAGGTATGCAGCACTGATAAGCAGCCAGCACCTGTCCGCAGTTCATTATGGGGCTGGTCTGGTCTTTGGAGGATATGCAGGGCAGCGCGGATGCTTTGAGTAGCGAGCCCCGCCCGGGCACCACACGTCTGTATGGGCTGTGACCCTTTGATAGCCCCCTTTGGTGGGTGTGTGGTCTACAAACTCCTCCCCCCCCCCCCCCCGAAAGTTAAAATAATGCAGCGCCGTAATGCAAAAAATGGCCTGGTCAGTAGGGGTGGGGGGGAATCCTCTGGAGGGCGAGGGGTTAATAATAACTGACAGACTTCATCACATATATAATTTTTTGATTTTGCCCACAGCTCCATTCAAGCAGTGAAACACAAGGATGGGGGGCTGTGGCCCTGGAGCTTCTAAAGACCTGTAAAAACCAAATTTGCAGTGGCAGCTTTCCGATCTCTCTTCTGTCTCGATTTCTTGAACATGGATCTAGATCCTAAAACAATTTACTGTTTATTCTCCCCAAAAGAAAGGTGATTAAATATCCTCTGTAATCACAGAAATCCAGCCACATGGTAGGATTAGTGTTCAGGCAGAGCTGTGAATAGTTGGCTCTGGATGAACATCACTCGCTTGACCCACTTCAGCCAGAGCTGCCGCACTTACATAACCGGCCCTTAGGGGGAGCCCACGTCTGGTGATTACAAGGAGTTTTTTTGTTGGTTTGACAGGTAAAGATTGTTTTTTCAGCTACAACCAGGGGCGGGACTGACCATTTGGAAACTCGGCACTGCCCGAGGGCCCGGGGTCAGTAGGGGGCCCCATGAGATGCCGCTGGTACCTTTTTCATAGGCTTTTTTGAGTTTGGGCAAGGACACAGGGGCCCCATGATCCCCTATTGCCCGGGGGCTCCATGAGTTGTCAGTCCGCCCCTGGTTACAACTCATCTAAAGCCGGCCACACACGGGTCGAATTCCAAAAGAATTTTCTTTTTCGAAAATCGTTTCTAAGAAGTTCCGTTCGAATTTCACACCAATAGTGGGCCACAGAAACGGATGATTTTTTGTGCGACCATCGAACTTGAGTGATTGGGCATGTTGGAAATTGAACAAATTTCTAATCAATGATGAGAGAATCGAGCAGAAAATATAATAAAAAAAAGAAATGAGCATGAGCTGAAAGGAAAAGAAAATTCTTGGCCACAAAAATTCTTTTCTGTAGCAACACAAGCTGAAACCGAAGGCTTGGCTGGTCGAATTTCGAAATTAATGGCGGCACTAAGCCGACATAGCTTCAGCAGTCAGTCACTTAAAGTAGAGGTCCACCCAAAAGGGGGTGTTCCACTTTAAGGACTTGCTCCCCGTGAAGAATTGGTACCTTTGGGGAGCGGCTTCCTGATTTTGATAGGTACCTGCTCCCCCTTTTGCTCCGACTGCCTAGGCAAGGGGTACTCAAAGTTTTTAAACAAAGGGCCAGTTTCCAGTCCTTGAGATTAAGGGGGGCCGGCCTATGGCCAGTGGGAGTAGAAATTGGCCTGGCGTCTAGTGAGAGTATACAATGCCCTATCTTTGGTGTCAGTAAGAGGAATAGTGCCCCAAGCTCGGTGTCAGTGGGAGGAATAGAGCCCCATCCTCGGTGTCAGTGGGAGGAATAGTGCCCCATCCTCGGTGTCAGTGGGAGGAATAGTGCCCCATCCTCGGTGTCAGTGGGAGGAATAGTGCCCCATCCTCGGTGTCAGTGGGAGGAATAGTGCCCCATCCTCGGTGTCAGTGGGAGGAATAGTGCCCCATCCTCGGTGTCAGTGGAACGAATAGTGCCCCATCCTCGGTGTCAGTGGGAACGAATAGTGCCCCATCCTCGGTGTCAGTGGGAGGAATAGTGCCCCATCCTCGGTGTCAGTGGAACGAATAGTGCCCCATCCTCGGTGTCAGTGGGAGGAATAGTGCCCCATCCTCGGTGTCAGTGGGAGGAATAGTGCCCCATCCTTGGTGTTAGTGGGAGGAATAGTGCCCCATCCTTGGTGTCAGTGGGAGGAATAGTGCCCCATCCTTGGTGTCAGTGGGAAGGAATAGTGCCCCATCATTGGTGTCAGTGGGAGGAATAGTGCCCCATCCTTGGTGTCAGTGGGAGGAATAGTGCCCCATCCTTGGTGAGTAGTGGGGGGGAATAGTGCCCCATCCTTGGTGTCAGTGGGAGGAATAGTGCCCCATCTTGGTGTCAGTGGGAGGAATAGTGCCCCATCCTTGGTGTCAGTGGGAGGAATAGTGCCCCATCCTTGGTGTCAGTGGGGGGAATAGTGCCCCATCCTTGGTGTCAGTGGGGGGAATAGTGCCCCATCCTTGGTGTCAGTGGGAGGAATAGTGCCCATCCTTGGTGTCAGTGGGAGGAATAGTGCCCCATCCTTGGTGTCAGTGGGAGGAATAGTGCCCCATCATTGGTGTCAGTGGGAGGAATAGTGCCCCATCATTGGTATCAGTGGAGGAATAGTGCCCCATCATTGGTGTCAGTGGAGGAATAGTGCCCCATCCATTGGTGTCAGTGGGGGGAATAGTGCCCCATCATTGGTATCAGTGGGAATAGTGCCCCATCCTTGGTCAGTGGGAGGAATAGTCATCAGTATCAGTGGGAGGAATAGTGCCCCATCTTGGTGTCAGTGGGAGGAATAGTGCCCCATCATTGGTATCAGTGGGAGGAATAGTGCCCCATCATTGGTGTCAGTGGGAGGAATAGTGCCCCATCATTGGTGTCAGTGGGAGGAATAGTGCCCATCCTTGGTGTCAGTGGGGGAATAGTGCCCCATCCTTGGTGTCAGTGGGAGGAATAGTGCCCCATCGTTGGTTTCAGTGGAAGGAGCTTGTGCCAGATAGTACACGGAGGAAGGGGGAGACACGTGGCTATAATGCTGGCTGTAGCTGCTGCGAAGGATCAACAAAGCAACCATTTTGTAGTTTTGGGAATAGCTGTTCTTTATAAATATATTCCATTATTTTAAAGACTTGAAACAATGAATAAATAAGATAAATAATCCATTTGAAAAAAAAAAAAAAAAAAAAGAGTAAACATAAAAACCCTAAAAATAAAATTGCCCAAAACAGTTATAGTTTCCCTTTAACCTCCTCCCGCCTGCCATATAGTCCAATGACGGGCGCAAGGCGGTTCTCTCGTTCTGAGAGGACGTCATATGGCGTCCTCCCATTCTCACCGCACATGTGTGGCTCAGGGAGTGCGCAGCACGGTGATCAGCTGTGCGCTGTGTCCCTCGGACACAGCGGATCACCAATCACGGAAAGAGCCGAAGATGTCGGCTCGGTCATGTGATCAGCTGTGTCCAATCACAGCTGATCACATGTAAACACGGAAATGCCGGTTATCGGCATTTCTCTCCTCTCGAGCTGTCACACTGACAGAGGAGAGGAGAGCCGGTAATCGGCTTTCCGCGGAGGGGACATCTACACTGATGATCAGTGTAGCCCCAGCAGTGCCACCTGTCAGTGCCGATCAGTCACGTGCCTATCGCCACATCAATGCCACATATCAGTATCAGTGCACATCAATGCCACATATCAGTGCCCATCTGAGCTGCCTTTCAGTGTCATCCATCAGTGCCACTCAGTGCCACCTATCTGCTGCCAATCAGTGCCACCTATCAGTGCCGGTCAGTACCGCCTATCAGTGTGCATCAGTGCCAGTTAGTGCCGCCTAACAGTGCCATAAATCAGTGCCATGTATCAGTGCTGCCTTTCAGTGCCCATCAGTGATGCCTGTCAATGCCTATCAGTGCCACCTACCAGTGCCTCCTCATCAGTGCCAGCTATCAGTTTCCATCAGTGCAGCCTATCAGTGCCCATCACTGCAGCCTCATTAGCGCACATTAGTGAAGGAGAAAAATCACTTATTTGCCAAATTTTATAACAAAAACTAAGAAAAAACATTTTTTTTCAAAATTTTCAGTGGTTTTTGGTTTGTTTAAGAAAAAATAAAAATCCCCGAGGTGATTAAATACCACCAAAAGAAAGCTCTATCTGTCACAAAAAAATGATAAAAATTTCATATGAGTACAGTGTTGCATGACCGTGCAATTGTCATTCAAAGTGTGACAGCGCTGAAAGCTGGAAATTGGCCTGGGGGGGGAGGGGGAATAAGTGCCCTGTAGGCCAGGGGTTAAGAAACTCACCGACTTTGGCAGGGTCTGCATCGCTTGCTTCACTTGAGGCTCCAGGTGTTTGAAAGCTTGTAGAACGTAACGGCCTAAAAAAAATACAAAAACTTCTTCTGAAAATCGGTCCGATGTCCCCGCCTACTAGAGGCGGATCCGTTCTTTGGTTTAGGATGGAATATTATGATGGGTACAAATCTTAAAGGGCCGATCTCAACTATGAACTACAGTAATGTGTTACCAAAAATGACAGCAAGACACAACACGAGATGTGCGTTATGGTGCCATTTATGTTCAATGGCAACCCAACGATGTATGCTTTCTTTTTAGGTGAGCCATTGGGGGATGGGAGGGGGGAGAGCATGGGAATAAACCATGGCTCAACTGCCTTTATTTCACGCCCCCCTGGACGACCATTTAAAACATGGGATATTGCATCCTATCAAAGTCTACAGTCTCTGTACATCATATAGATCAGGGGTAGGCAACCTGCGGCTCTCCAGCTGTTGTGGAACTACATTTCCCATGAGGCATTGCAAAGATTACAAAACTGACAGTTACAGCTATGACTTGCAGAGGCATGATGGAACTTGTAGTCCTGTAACAGCTGGAGAGGCGCAGTTTGCCCACCCCTGATATAGTACATAGAGCAGGGGTCCGGGGTGGGCGGAGTACGTAGCGCAGGGGTCCGGGGTGGGCGGGTACGTAGCGCAGGGGTCCTGGGTACGTAGGTGGGCGGGAGTAGCGTAGTGCGTAGCAGGGGTCTGGGGGGTGGGAGGCGTACGTAGCGCAGGGGTCCGGGGTGGGCAGCGTACGTAGCGCAGGGGTCCGGGGTGGGCGCTGTACGTAGTGCAGGGGTCCGGGGTGGGCGGTGTTCGTAGTAGCGCAGGGGTCGCGGGCGCAGGGGCGGTGGGCGGTGTTCGTAGTGCAGGGGTCTGGGGTAGGTGGCGTACATAGCGCAGGGGTCCGGGGTGGGCGGTGTTCGTAGCGCAGGGGTCCTGGGGTAGGGGGTGTTCGTAGTGCAGGGGTCTGGGGTAGGTGGCGTACATAGCGCAGGGGGGGTGGGCGGCGTTCGTTAGCGCAGGGGGTCTGGGGTAGGGGCGGCGTTCGTAGCGCAGGGGTCTGGGGGGTGGCGGCGGAGGGGTCCTGGGTGGGCGGCGTACGTAGCGCAGGGGTCTGGGGGGGGTCTGGGGTGGGCGGCGTACGAAGGGCAGGGGTCCAAGGTAGGTGGTGTACGTAGCGCGGGGGTCTGGGGTGGGGGCGGCGTACGTAGCGCAGGGGTCTGGGGTGGGCGGAGTACGTTAGCGCAGGGGTCTGGGGGGTGGGCGGCGTACATTGCGCAGGGGTCGGGGGTGGGCGGCGTACGAAGCGCAGGGGTCCGGGGTAGGCGGAGTACATACCGCAGGGGTCCGGGGTGGGCAGGGTTTGTGCGCAGGGGTCCGGGGCGGCAGCGTACATAGCGCAGGGGTCTGGGGTGGGCGGCGTACGAAGCGCAGGGGTCCGGGGTAGGTGGTGTACGTAGCGCAGGGGTCCGGGGTGGGCGGAGTACGTAGCGCAGGGGTCTGGGGTAGGTGGAGTACATCATTTTCCATGAATGGAGGAGGGAAAACAGAGTGACATCCAATGAAAACACAGCAACCTTCACACCGACACTCACCAGCAAACCCCGCCACGGCAAGAGTCAGCCCAGCCACTATCATAGTACTCGCCTGCGGAGAGAACGGACAATCAGTAATCTGTCAGTGGGGGGGGGGGGGGGGGGGGGGGGAAGCTCCCGGAATTTATAATATATCTGCAATTTTTTTTTTGTAATATAAAAATGCAAAACTTTATTTTTTCATTTTGGATGCAGTAAAGGGGGTGATACTCCCATCAGTGTCCCCATTGGGGAGATTTCCCTTGACTCCCGTAGCCACAACAAGAAGTGAGCCGAAATCCCTGCAAAGTGAAGGAATCACAAACCTGAGCTCCTGGAGGCTATTATCACTACCAGAGGAAGTACAGGGCGATTAAAACAAATGTACAGTTGTCACCGGAACAGGAAGTGGGGGAAATCTTCCAATGGGGACACCGGTGTCACTTGGGGATTTCCTGTCCTCCAGAGCAGACAGCGATAATCCTTCACTGCTTTATTCAGACAAAACAAGGAAGCCATGACAGGAGCAGGACTGAGGTTTGGGGCACCCAGGGGCTCTGTGCTCAGCTCCCCACTTTAAGTTCTTGGCTCCGCCCACAATTAAAGGGCAGCCGAGTGTAGAAGGCGGCGGGTGCCCTTAAAGGTCGTAGAACACGTGACCCCGCACTCACCATAACGCGAGCTCTGTGAGGGGCGCTCTACAGGGTGACCCTCATGAACGACTCTTCCCCTGTACCCCTAGGCTGGAATCTGACAACGTTCCGCCCACTGATGTCATTTCCGCCCTTCCCATGCCCTAACCCCGCCTTCTACACTCAACCACGACTTCACATTGGGTGTGCGCACGCGCACTTCCATTCATATTTTTCCTCTTTAGCGGCGTACACCCCCACGAGAGGCTGTGTTGTGCATGCCGTACTGTCCTGGCCAATCACGTCACTTCTTTACCTACAGTGGCGTAAACCCCGCCCACTACATCCCGCAAGAGGCTGTGTTGGGCTGGCCGTACTGTTCTGGCCAATCATGTCGCTTTATTACCTTACTTTGACGTACTACGCCCACTACTCGCTACATTTCTGACCAATCAGGAGCTCGCTTCCTGCACGTGGAGTTGAGCGGGGCGTACCAAGCGCTGACTTTTTTATTCTTTCGTTTAACTTTATTGGACTAAGAAATAAATGGACAAATATACAGTTCTGCAGAGAGCCGCTTTTAAAGTGAGCCAGGCAGTAAAACAAATAAGGCGGCCGTCTTCTCGGAGCAAAGACTGAATGCGGCTCCCTTGATAATCCTCTGCTTCATGGAGTATAGGTTGTCTGTCCCCCCCTCTGTACTCAGTGGTTCCTCCCTCTGACCCCCAATGTCTCTGCTCTGTCCTGCTGTGACTGGAAGGAACCATATCAGTAGCTGGGGGGAGACGTACACTCCTGGAAGTGCTGGTCAGTGGAGGATTATTGTCATACAGGATTTATATCGCTCCTACAGTTTGCTGAGCGCTTTACAATATGAAGGCGGACATTACAGTTACAATACAATTTAATGGAGTCCAGAATTATCGTTCTCTCGTTGCTCCTCTCCAGAGCCGACATCTCTAATACAGATCAGCCACCAGGAGGCGTCATGGAATGCCTGCACATGTGCCAGATCCGCCAAAGGGTGGGTGGGGCAAAATTGTGCTAACAGTGGGAGGAGCTTATCATGTGAGCCTACCTACCGAGTGCGGGAGTCAGAAGTATAGAAAGTACAGAGTGCAGGAGTCAGAAGTATATACAGTACAGAGTGCGGGAGTCAGAAGTACAGAAAGTACAGAGTGCGGGAGTCAGAAGTATAGAAAGTATGGAGTGCAGGAGTCAGAAATATAGAAAGTACAGAGTGCGGGAGTCAGAAGTATAGAAAGTACAGAGTGCAGGAGTCAGAAGTATATACAGTACAGAGTGCGGGAGTCAGAAGTACAGAAAGTACAGAGTGCAGGAGTCAGAAGTATAGAAAGTACGGAGTGCAGGAGTCAGAAATATAGAAAGTACAGAGTGCGGGAGTCAGAAATATAGAAAGTACAGAGTGCAGGAGTCAGAAGTACAGAAAGTACAGAGTGCGGGAGTCAGAAGTATATACAGTACAGAGTGCAGGAGTCAGAAGTATAGACAGTACAGAGTGCGGGAGTCAGAAGTATATACAGTACGGAGTGCGGGAGTCAGAAGTATAGAAAGTACGGAGTGCGGGAGTCAGAAATATAGAAAGTACGGAGTGCGGGGAGTCAGAAGTATAGAAAGTACGGAGTGCAGGAGTCAGAAGTACAGAAAGTACAGAGTGCAGGAGTCAGAAGTACAGAAAGTACAGAGTGCAGGAGTCAGAAGTATATACAGTACAGAGTGCGGGAGTCAGAAGTATAGAAAGTACAGAGTGCAGGAGTCAGAAGTATATACAGTACAGAGTGCGGGAGTCAGAAGTATAGAAAGTACGGAGTGCAGGAGTCAGAAGTACAGAAAGTACAGAGTGCAGGAGTCAGAAGTATATACAGTACAGAGTGCGGGAGTCAGAAGTATAGAAAGTACAGAGTGCAGGAGTCAGAAGTATATACAGTACAGAGAGTGCGGGAGTCAGAAGTATAGAAAGTACGGAGTGCGGGAGTCAGAAGTATAGAAAGTACAGAGTGCGGGAGTCAGAAGTATAAAAAGTACGGAGTGCAGGAGTCAGAAGTATAGAAAGTACGGAGTGCAGGAGTCAGAAGTATATACAGTACAGAGTGCGGGAGTCAGAAGTATAGAAAGTACGGAGTGCAGGAGTCAGAAGTATATACAGTACGGAGTGCGGGAGTCAGAAGTATAGAAAGTACGGAGTGCAGGAGTCAGAAGTATAGAAAGTACAGAGTGCGGGAGTCAGAAGTATAGAAAGTACGGAGTGCAGGAGTCAGAAGTACAGAAAGTACAGAGTGCAGGAGTCAGAGTGCAGAGTGCGGGAGTCAGAAGTATATACAGTACAGAGTGCGGGAGTCAGAAGTATAGAAAGTACGGAGTGCAGGAGTCAGAAGTATATACAGTACAGAGTGCGGGAGTCAGAAGTATAGAAAGTACGGAGTGCAGGAGTCAGAAGTATAGAAAGTACGGAATGCGGGAGTCAGAAGTATATAGAGTACAGAGTGCGGGAGTCAGAAGTATAGAAAGTAAAGAGTGCGGGAGTCAGAAGTATAGAAAGTACGGAGTGCGGGAGTCAGAAGTATAGAAAGTACGGAATGCGGGAGTCAGAAGTATAGAAAGTAAAGAGTGTGGGCGTCAGAAGTATAGAAAGTACAGAGTGCGGGAGTCAGAAGCATAGAAAGTACAGAGTGCGGGAGTCAGAAATATAGAAAGTACAGAGTGCAGGGGTCAGAAGTATATAGAGTACAGAGTGCGGGAGTCAGAAGTATAGAAAGTACAGAGTGCGAGAGTCAGAAGTATAGAAAGTACAGAGTGCGGGAGTCAGAAGTATATAAAGTACAGAGTGCGGGAGTCAGAAGTATAGAAAGTACAGAGTGTGCGGGAGTCAGAAGCATAGAAAGTACAGAGTGCGGGAGTCAGAAATATAGAAAGTACAGAGTGCGAGAGTCAGAAGTATAGAAAGTACAGGTGCGGGAGTCAGAAGTATATAAAGTACAGAGTGCGGGAGTCAGAAGTATATCAGTACGGAGTGCGGGAGTCAGAAGTATAGAAAGTACAGAGTGCAGGAGTCAGAAGTTATAGAAAGTACAGAGTGCAGGAGTCAGAAGTATAGAAAGTACAGAATGCGGGAGTCAGAAGTATATAGAGTACAGAGTGCGGGAGTCAGAAGTATAGAAAATACAGAGTGCGGGGGTCTGGATTGGGAAATATACATAGTGCAAGAGTCTGGGGTGGGTGACGTGCATTGCTGATCGCTTTCCATGACCCCCTGGCAGTGTGCCCTCCCCCCGCCAAAGCTCTGCTGACCAAACTACAAGCCCGGAACCAACATGGCAGGTGTCACCAGGTGGAGGGGAGGGAGATCAGCAATCACCCGCTCCATCATCCCCTCGATTGCACAAAACCTAAAAGCATGAAGTGTGAGCCCAAAAAAAGAAAAAATACTTTTAGTTATATTAACTTTTTTGGGGGGGTTGTCTTTAGATGCACTTTCGGTCCTATTTCTGATGTTATATGCTGGATTAGCCTCAGAGCTCAATAAGAAAAAAAACCTTCAAAGATATTTATTATTTTTGATAATAAAGAAAGCTTTGCCTTGAATTATGGCTGGATCATGTACCTGATATGTTGTCTGCCTCTTCCTAGGTAAGGGGTGCGTGACGTCCCAGCTGTGCTGCGGCTAGTTACAGCACAAGCCAATCAGTGGGTCCCGGCCAATGATTGATGGCCAGGACCCGCCAATATGTGTATATTGATTGGCTTGTGTGAAAGTTATGGCATCTACAAACTATGGGATTGATACTGGAATTTTTCTTTTTTTTGTACTAGTAATTATTATTATTATACAGGATGGCGGTGACCAACAACGCATAGTGAGGCGGGCAATCTGACACTGACTGACACTTTGTGGGAACTGACTTACTGACACTGACATCTCCAGTAGCACTAATACAGCGATCAGTGCTGATAATATACACTGACACTGTACTAATGACACTGGCTGGGAAGGGTTAACATCTAGGGGTAATCAAAGGGTTAACTGTGTGCCTGACAGCACGCAGTATACACATTACACGGGTCGATTTCCATCCGAATTTCTTTTTTTTTTTAAAAAATCGGAAATTTTGTGCTTTTTGCAATCCGATGGCGCCACCTTGATTTCTAAATTTGACCAGCCAAGACTTCAATTTCACACATTGCAACAGAAAATAATTTTTGTAACCAAGAATTTTCTTTTCAGGTCACAGCTCACGCTCGTTCCTTGTTGGACTATATTTCTTGCACGATTCTCCTATCATTGATTAGAAATTTGTTCGTTTTTCAAAAAATTTACAGCATGCCCGATTACTCAAATTCGATGGTCGCACAAAAATCGTCCGTTTCTGTGGCCTGCTAATGGTGCGAAATTTGAATGAAAATTCTTAGAAAAGATTTTCGAAAGAAAATATTTTTGGAATTCAACCCGTGTATGGCCGGCTTTAGCCAGGAGATGGCAGCAGAGCACAATAGAAGAAAGCCTGGAGCATAATGATAATTATTGATATTAAAGCAGAATTTGCAGTAAAATACTGACACTGCCTGGGCCCCTCCCCCTAACATGAAATATTTGGGACTTTTAGTTCTGGCCCTCTCATTACACCTTTTATCCCAGGTTTTCATGGCTGTCTGGGGCCCCCATTAGGGATCCCCCCCCCTCCATGAGTCTGAATGACCATTGTCATCCGAACTGAAGGGAAATTCAACATTCCAATGGTGACCGGAACAGGAAGAGAGGATTCAAACGCTCTGGTGACTACGATGACAAGAAGGGATTTCCCTCGAAATGATTTCCTCTCACTTTCTGCGATTTCTCACGACAGGAAATGGAGAAAAATCACCCGAAGGAACAGAGAGAAAGAAAAACTGAAAGGGGTTCTATCCATTCCCTCCTCTGTCCAAAATGTAAGTGTTACTAAACCCACAACAGTACAATCAGTCTGTAGATGCAGTAAAGCATGCTTGTTATACGCACTGTGGAAACCTAAGGGGTTAATCCTCCACATTGTGTAAAAAGACTGTTTGATCCTGTCTTCTCTGATCCTCCCCTTCTTCTACTGTCCCCAATCCATCTGCTCATAGAACAGAGCCTTGGTGGCAAGCTGCTCATGCTCAGTTTGGTGAGTATTGCTAGAGAGTTTTTTTTTCTTTGGGGGGGAGCATGTGATCAGCACAGAGCCAATCAGCACTAATCAGACATAGGGTCAGGGGATATACAGCCTCACAGGGCAGTGAGAAGTGAATGAAAACTCCTCCTACAAGCTTTAATCAGTGCTCAGCTGGACACTAATAGAAGTCACAAGATTGCTATATACTGCTGATAAGAAAATGGATTTAGCAGTTTATATTTACTAAAATAATTGTATTTCCATGTTCTTTGTAGCCAGATATAGTGAATGCAGGGTCCGGGGAGACCAGATATAGTGAATGCAGGGTCCGGGGAGAGCGGATATAGTGAATGCAGGGTCGGGGAGCAGATATAGTGGGGAGACCATATAGTGAATGCTGGGTCCGGGGAGACCAGATATAGTGAATGCAGGGTCCGGGGAGACCGGATATAATGAATGCAGGGTCCGGGGAGAGCGGATATAGTGAATGCAGGGTCCGGGGAGACCGGATATAGTGAATGCAGGGTCCGGGGAGAGCGGATATAGTGAATGCAGGGTCCGGGGGAGACGGATATAGTGAATGCAGGGTCGGGGAGACCAGATATAGTGAATGCAGGGTCCGGGGAGACGGATATAGTGAATGCAGGGTCCGGGGAGAGCGGATATAGTGATTGCAGGGTCCTGGGGAGACCAGATATAGTGAATGCAGGGTCCAGGGAGAGCGGATATAGTGAATGCAGGGTCCGAGGAGACCGGATATAGTGAATGCAGGGTCCGGGGAGACCGGATATAGTGAATGCAGGGTCCGGGAAATTGCGGATATAGTGAAATGCAGGGTCCGGGAACGGGGAGTGAATGCAGGGTCGGGGATGTATATAGTGAATGCGGGGGTCCGGGCGGAGACCAGATATAGTGAATCATCCAATGAGCGGATATAGTGAATGCAAGTCGGGGAGGGTATATAGTTGCAGGGTCCAGTGAGAACAGATATAGTCAAATGCAGGGTCCGTGGGGAGCAGGCCATATATAGTGAATGCAGGGTTGGGGAGACCAGATATAGTGAATTGCAGGGTCGTGGAGAGAGGATATCGTGAATGCAGGGTTCCGTTGGAGAGCAGGATATAGTGAAAGCAGGGTCCGGGGAGACCGGATTAGTGAATGCAGGGTCCGGGGGGGAGACCGGAATAGTGAATGCAGGGTCCGGGGTTTAGTAACACTAAAAACTTGGGCTGATGTTTTCACTTGAATATAGTTTATGGACAATGAGCAAGGGTAAAGCATATGGAAGAGGCTACATATGTAGGGTCTGACTTTTCTCATTCACTAAATCTGGGGCAACACGAGCCAGCCTATTTGCCTTCAGCAAATCATTCCCCAATGGCCTTGCAAAAAATAGCATGCAATAGAGACGCAGATAAACCAAGAGGGCCGTAGTAGGACATCATGACGACTTATGCAGCGCAAATTCCCTTAATTGTTATCAGCAAATTTGCCTTTTGTAAATCAACCCTAAACGATTCATGCTTTGGCATCCAAGTTCAGGGGCGGATGACAACTTATGGGGCCCTGGGAATAGGGATCATGGGGGCCCCTGTGTCCTTGCCACACACTGCAAAGCACACCAAAAAACCTTATAAATGTACCAGTAGGAATTTCATGGGGCCCCCCCCTAATCCTGGGCCCCCAGGCAGTGCTTGAATGTGAATCTTAGGTGTGCAAAAACATTGGTGTTTGGTGTGGGTGATGGGGGGTTTGTAGGGTGTGTGGGTTGTGTGGTGTACAAAGCATGCAATATATACAAATAAAATTAGAGGGCAGTGGTAGAGTTCACATGACTGGTTAGCGGGAGTAGTGAAAATAAATGATAATAAAAAAAAAAGCTAAGCAGATATAAAAGAGGATTATTAAAGAAAATGGTTAGTTGGGAAATTGTCCATAGGGGGCACTTGTACTGCTGAGAATGCTAAGAGGCACTTGGGAGAGATTTCTTCTCACTTTCTTATATGTATGGGAAGGAAAATCTCCCCAATAGGACACAGATGATAAAAAAAACCTGCTACTGGCTTTTTTCCCATTCCTAAAACTACCCAAAAATAAAAGGATTTGGTTCTAGATATAGCTGCTCAGGAAATGTTGAATTCCTTAAAGTTGTTCTAAAGGAAAAGGTTTTGTTTTTTATACCTTAAACCACTTCCAGTCCGGACAATTTTTACCCCCTTCCTGCCCAGGCCAATTTTCAGCTTTCAGGCTTATCACACTGCAAATGACAATTGCAGCGCGGTCATGCAACACTGTACCCATATGAATTTTTTTTTCATTTTTTTGAGACAGATAAAGCTTTATTTTGGTGGTATTTATTCACCACTGGGTTTTTTATTTTTTTTTTGCTATATAAATGAAATAGTCCAAAAATTTTGAAAAAAAAGTGTTTTTCTTATAACATTTTGCAAATAAATAATATTTTAACATAAATCTTGTCCAAAATGTATTCAGTTATCTTTTCAGTAATTTATTCAGGTATTTATGTTTTGTTTTTTTTTTTTATATACCATCACCCTAGCAGTACAGTGTCACCATAGTAACACTGTACTACATGTGGGGGGCGATGAAGATTTTTTTTTTACACTGATTGCTTTTACACCCATAAAGGCTGTAAAAGCAATCATTTCTCCTTCTCTCTGTCTGCATTCTTGCAGCCATTGAGAAATACTGTGTGAGCTGTGATTGGTGACAGCTTGTCACATGGTACAAGGCTGTTGTGAATCGCCCTGTACCATGTGATCATTCACAGATTTCACACGTAATAAGCAATGATGTCAAAAGTGACATCTTGCTTACTACTCTTCATGTGATCACCGATTGGCCAATCAGTGATCACATGTAACCTGTGTCCTGTGTCACCCAAATAGGTTGCATGCCGACGATCCTGCGGGGATCGTCGGCATGCAACCTATATGGGGTGACACCGGACCCGCTCCACGAAAAGGTAAGTTGTAAAGAAAGCCAACGATCCCCGCAGGATGGATCGGATTTGCAGATTGAGCATAATGGATCGGAGTCCAATCCATTATGTTCAATCCGCAGATCCGATCCATTCTGCGGGGATCGTCGGAGGGGGGGTGTCACCAAGTGTTATCGCACCGGGTGACACCAACCCTAGGGACACCTCTGCTTTATGGTGTCGTATGTGTTAAAGAATATGTCACCCCAAATTTCCTATTCCTGATCTGTGCCGGCTGTACCATGTACTTGTATGAAGAAGTCTCCTGTTCTCTCTGTATTGCTTCCTTTGTGTGAAATCTCTGGTGTTCCTGCCAGACCCTCTGCTTTCCTTTTGCGAACTGACCACACAAGGCATGAGAGCACATCCATCCCAGTGTGGTCAGTTTTTCTGGCTGTGCTGGAAGAATAGCCTGCCTGTACTCCAATGGTCAGGCTTATGCTGATACGCCCCCCCCTGCACATCCATTTACTGGGAAGACTAGTGTACTGCCGTTTCTCCTCCCCCCTCTCTTTGTCCCTTATGCAGCTGTGAACAGAGGGAATGTGAGCATTTATAGAAAAAAAAAATAGGAAAAAAATCTATTTATAATGTTTTATATCTATACACAATTTTGTCTTTTTTTTCTATTTCAAACTACACGGGTTGTTTTACAGGGTGAGGGTTTACTTAGACCTTAATGTAAAATAAAAATACAAAAACACAATTCCTCCAGCTCCCAAAAAAGCCCGGTTACAATATGCCGGACAACACCTTGGCATGCCTCACCGGACTTTTTTTGTGGCATTGGCGCAGTGAAGGCTTCTTTCTGGCAACTCGACCATGAAGCTAATATTTGTTCAGGTATCGTTGTATTGTGCTCCTTTAAATAACCACGTTGGCTTTTTCCAGAGCAGCCTGTATTTCTTTTGAGGTTACCCGGGGGGTTATCTTTGTATCCCAGACAATTCTTCTGGCAGTTGTGGCTGCAATCTTTCTTGGTCTACCTGACCTTGGCTTGGTATCAAGAGATCCCCAAATTTTTCACTTCTTAATAAGTGATTGAACAGTACTGATTATAATATTCAAGGCTTTGGACATCTTTTTATATCCTTTTACATCTTTATAAAGATCCATTACCTTGTTACGCAGGTCTTTTGACAGTTCTTTTCTGCTCCCCATGGCTCAGTATCTAACCTGCTCCACTTGAGAGCTAACAAACTCATTGACTATTTATACACTGACACTAATTGCAATTTAAAAAGCCACAGATGTGGGACATTAACCTCTAATTGGCATTGTACCCCGTGTGTGTCACCTTGTGTGTCTGTACCAAGGCCAAACATTCCAGGGGGGGCGGAGACTTCTGATCCGGGGCGGAGACTTCTGATCCGGGCCATTTGGGTGATTTCTGTTATCATTATGATTTAAAAATGAGCCAAACAACTATGTGATAATAAATGGCTTCATAGGATCATCATCCTTCAATAAAAGAGCATTTTTTTGGCATGATCAGTCAGATTTTCAATATCAATGCCAAAATTTGACCATTTATGCCAGAGGAGGCAAATGTTTGAGCACAAGGGCCGTCACTGCCTCACTGCCGCCATCTTGGTCCTCTTCATTTGACGTCCTCTCCCGGGTGCGGGTCTCCGGCACTAATGATATCACTGGGGTGGATTTACTAAAGGCAAATAGACTGTGCAAAGTGCAGTTGCTCCAGAGCTTAGTAAATGAGTGAAGCTTCACTTTACAATGAATACCCAATCACATGCAGGGAAAATAAAAAAACAGCATTTTTGCTTGCACGTGATTGGATGATGGAAGTCAGCAGAGCTTCTGCTCATTTACTAAGCTCTGGAGCTGCCCTTTGCAAAGTGCCCAGTCTTTTTACCTTTAGTAAATCCACCCCTATAAGGGTGGATTTATAAAGGCAAATAGACCGTGCACTTTGCAAGTGCAGTTGCTCCCGAGCTTAGTAAATGAGATAAAGCTTCACTTTACAAAGAATGCCCGATCACATGCAAGGAGTATAAAAAAATAGCAAATTTGCTTGCACATGATTGGATGATGGAAGTCAGCAGAGCTCCCCCTCATTTACTAAGCTCTGGAGCAACTGCTCTTGCAAAGTGCACAGTCTATTAGCCTTTAGTAAATCCACCCCTTTATGTGCTGATCTTCTAGCCCTCATGCACACGGGACATTTTGATAACGTTGGTAACATTAGCTGTGTAAAGTCGCGTTAAAAATGTGAGTTTTTTATGCTTTTTTTTAGCGTTTTTGCATTAGTGTTTAGCAGCGTTTAGTGGCGTTTTTCACATTTGCGTTTTTTAGTGTTTTTTTTTCAAAAAAATAATTTTTTTTTTTAGGTAAAAAAAATCCAAAAAGGCCGGTTTGCGGTGTTTTACCGCGTTTTGCTGCATTTTTTAGTGTTAGAGTGTTTTTACAGCTAAAAATCTCCTCTAGAATCCCTCTAGTCCTGGGTTTTTTTTTCCAGCCAAGAAACGTTGATTCCAGTCTATGTGTGTATGGACACATAGGATAACATGCTGGGGGGTTTACTGGCTGTAGAAAAAATGCCAAAAGCCAAAAACAGCCGCTGTAAGAACGTCCCGTGCAGGGGCGGACTGACAACTCATGGGGCCCCCGGGCAATAGGGGATCATGGGGCCCCTGTGTCCTTGCCCAAACTCAAAAAAACCTACTGACCCCGGGCCCTCGGGAAGTGCCCGAGT